CCTCCCCCTGCTCAGGAAAATAATCTTTGCAAAGGTTCATCTTTGAGCCCATCGGCGTTTGGGATTTACCTGAAGAGTAAAGACCACGTGTGTTGTTTGCATTGTAATTCAGAAGGTACTTTGTGTAGGCAAATGCCTGTTTACTCCTAGCGCGCCCCAAAACAAGATAGGCAGGTACTTGCAAAATCCCAATTTGCAGCTGCCTGTGTCAATCGGGTATTTCGAAGGCGGGTGTTGCAACCGATGCCCGAGAATGTGACCTAAATCTTGGGGTTGGAGAGCTGAACATGAGGGAAACTGGCCCATGCTGGGACCGTCTCGGTTATCCGCGGATAAAGGGACTTCCTCGAGGAGCTGGGGTTTCCCTCGGCAGCGGTATGCAAGTGATAAAGCATTAACCTACGTTTTACTGCAGGCAAAATCTGGGTGGTTTACATCGCAAACCAGGGAGGGAGGGATTCCTGGCAGGCTCCTGCACTGGGGCAGCCGAGGAGCCTGGTGTTCCCTCGGGGACATGGTTTTGTTTTGACCAGAACCGCACATGCCAAGGCAATGGATCTGAAACTGGCCTATTCCTACGAAAAATGGGGAAAGGAAGCGCTCCCAAGGGATGTGCTGGCTTTACAGCTGCTTGGCCTCAGCCCAGACGGCTTCAGCTGTTGATGGAGTGAGGTGGTGACCGAAGAGCATCCCTGTAGTGAAGATTTTTGGGAGGAGAAAGACCAAAAGCGGATACCCTCACCCAAAAAATTGAGGTCTTTGGCAGCTCCTCACCAGCAAACATCCCGACAGCCTGAAGGCGCTGGCAGGGTGTTGTCGGTGGGGTCGGCCAAAGCCGGAGTCAGGTTTTTTGGAGAGGTCCTTTTGTCCGGCTGCAGTTTTCGCCCCGTGTACGGAAGCTGTGGGAAGGTGTCTGGTTTGGCTTTAGCGTCCAACCACCCCGAGTATCTCTGCTCGCCGGGGTGAAATGCCATTTGGGAAGCGGGTACCTGAAGGCTCAACGTGTCGTGTGATCTTCTTCCAGGCGTGCCCATCTGCGGTTGTGTTTGGAGAAGCTGAAGGGGCTGGTACCGCTCGAACCCGAGACCAGCAGACACACCACCCTGAGTTTACTAACAAAAGCCAAATTGCACATCAAGGTGAGCCTGAGCTCGTTCGGTGCCGACGAACCCATCCGCTGCGGGAGGCACAATAAATTGGGCTCCGTCCCCGTTGGGTGGGTGATGAGCTTGGCTTCGAGAGCATCACCGCCATACGGGGCGTCTGGATCCTTGAGCGGGACGAAGGTAACGGCCGGGTCAGGATGTTATTTTGGAAACACCGATGGAGGTTGAGCCGCTGCGGGTCAGTGTTGCCACTCTCACAGTCGGCACAGCGAGTCTGTGCGAGTCCCCTTATCAAAAGCCGCGCCGCTCTACAGCCGAATTTCTGTGTTGTACCCCACGCCGCAGCGATGCCCAGAGGCCTTGGGGATGAGGCTGGCTGCAGGATTGGAGCACGGCTGCTTTTTTCCTTTCTTTTCAGAGCATTTCCTACTTCGCTCTTTGCCCTTTAGACTGACTCGGCCGGGCTCTCCTCCCTGGGCGTATTCAGAGCTGAGAGATAAGGAGGGCAGCGCTGGCATCGGGCCGCGTTCGACTTCCTCGTTATCAAAGACTCTGAAAAATATATAAATAGGGTGGGGCTGGCTCCAGCTAAACTCTCTGGAGGGGGGAGCGTCCTTTCCGTGCCCTCTCCAGTGGCCTCGGGGCAGGTCCAGACCTCCCCGCTGCTGCGCCAGATGCTCCCGCCCTGCTTCGACCTCCGTCGGCTCGCGGGAGGATGAAAGTTGCATCCGTACAACTGGCGTGCTCAACGTCCTGTGCCCGCTGAAGCCGGGGAGCCCCTCAGTAGTTGGTGGCGGTTGCGTTGAGATGACTCCGGTAGCGGAAACGATGAGGCGGGCGCGGGCAGACGGAGGTTGGGGAGCTCAGGCTGCTTTCTCTCTCGTCCTCCTGCAGAAGCTTGAAGACTTCAACCGGAAAGCCGTACACCAAATAGACCAGCTGCAGCGGGAGCAGCGGCACCTGAAAAGGCAGCTGGAGAAGCTGGGGATGGAGAGGATAAGGATGGACAGTATCGGATCCACCGTTTCCTCGGAGCGCTCCAACTCGGATAGAGGTGAGACCCCTGCGCTGGGGGCGGAGCGGGGCCGGCTGGCGAGAGGTTCGGCCGTCCGCGTTGTAATGCTAACCGTTCCTCTTGCAGAAGAGATAGACGTGGACGTGGAGAGCACGGACGACCTTCCTGCGGACCTCGACTGGAGCAGCAGCAGCAGCCCGAGCGACTCGGACGAAAGAGGGAGCCTGCAGAGCATCTGCAGCGACGAGGGTTATTCCAGCTCCGGCGTGAAGAGGTTGAAGTCGCAGAGCAATCGCAAGCCTTGTCTTGGTCCGTAAGAAGCAACTCCCGTAGCTGTTTCACCCGTCGCTGTTTCCCTTTTGGATCTCGTTAGGTA